GCATATCTGTGTTTCAAACATACCTTTCAATTGGTGTTCTCTCCAAATTGTGGATCAGTTTTATTTTTCTTTTTTTTATCCTATTTTATTTAATATATATGAACGTTTGAGCAAATTTTTTCTGTAATGAGATGGGCTATAAAAACAAACATAAACAAACACACATCACATTTCCGCAGAACCATGAGATGTTAGAGGCTAACAAAAGCCTATGTCAATTTAAAATGTAATAGTAAGAGGATTATCTGTGGGATATGGGTCTCATTTTATACTGTATGTCTAAGATTCCTTCTAAATGGTCTGATCTCATTCATTCACTCATTTACCAAACAAATATTTCTATGGCAGGATTTAAGTAATATAAATACATGATACTGAATTTACTTGTTCTTAAATGGTTGATTTTAACTGTGGTTTAGGCATTACACAACAAACCATAAATACTAGAAAGTTGTACTGATTATAGATGCAGAGTTTCATTGCTGTTATCCTTTTTTACAATGTTCAGTAGAATAACTTATTTTCAGGATCATCCTGACAAATTCTGACATTTGAGTAGCTTCATTTCATTTGATGTATTACCCTTTGTAAAAAATAGGATACATGCCAAATGCCTAGTCTATGAGCTTTAGTGTTTATAGCAGAGAATTATTAATTAAATTTAGTTCTTCTTTTGAAAAATAAGTTTACTGGACTGTACCAGTTGGAGTGTGAATTAATTTAATGTAGTTTGAAATACAGGAATGACCAAATGCAATTAAATTTTATTATGTTATTACTATTTTTAGAATTGCACACCCTGTTTAGAGATTTTTTTTTCTCCCCAGGCTAACATCTCTGTCCTTTTACATTTAGCCTTCATGGACATGTTGTAAATCTCCTACCTTCCCATGTTTTTCAGGTCTATGGTAGTAGAGCCAATTCTTCATTTCTCTGCTTCTCACCTGTTTCTATTTATTTGTGTATAAGATGTCAAAGGAAAATGAAAAGTAACACCTCAAAATACCACCTTGAAAAAGAAAATGCCAACAAATTTTTTTCTGCACCTGAAGCTTTTAATTCTTTAATCCACTATGGAATGGTGCTTAATTACATATTTTATTATGCATAACTGAAAATTATGTACTTTAGTTTCAACAATGATATGAAAGCATGTATTGTTTATAAATAAAGGCTGGTTTCTATTTTTTTATGTTACAAATATTTGAGGAATTCTAACAGGTTCTGCTTCCCAAATGGGCTTTTGAGAAGTCTCAGAATGCTCTTGAGAAAAACTTCAACTTTTAATATTTTCTCTGGAAGTTAGAAAATTTATTACTTTGTAAAATTAAGAAAATGTCATAATCATGGGCAAAAGCCATTGAACAGTTTGGATATTTTCATAAAAGTCTCATCTTAATTTTAGTGAGCGTCACAAAATATTCATTAATGGAAAATAACTGCTGAATTGGGTGATGAATGGTTAGTTGTTCACTATACATTTTACTTTTCCGTGTGTATTTGAAAATTCTTTTAACAAAGTATGTTTAAAAGAAATAGTTGGTGTATATGGATCTTATACCAGGAAGTCAGAATTTGGGGGTTAATATTTCATACACTTGGCTTCAGTTCCTTAGTAATGAACTTTTTCATATTGGCAAAATACATGTTACATTATATATTTATGAAAATTTTGAGTTGCAATTTTTTCTACATTTGAAAAAGATTTTATTAAGGAAAAAATAGATTTGTTGAGAGAAGACAGGTTTGAGACCGATGTGGCCATGTTCCAGCTGAACTAATCAGTGACCCTGTTTGAGTTTCTCCTCCCTTGTCTCTATAGTGGGAATCTCAGTGCCTGCCTCTAGTCCCTCCAGTGGGATGGAGTTATGTTTGTGGCAGTGCCTTGGAACATAAGGTATTCTACAAACATCACTATTATCATTTCAAGCATATTTGAGGGCACTGCCAGGAAGGGAGCCTCAGAAGGTAGGATGTCTTTGTACAACATCTGGTGAAACAAATATTTGGAAATTAAAATTGGTAACAATGATAGAGGAGGTGAAATTGTCCCCACTCTGAGAGGTTGGACAGATTTGTGCTCTGTGGACAAATGCTCATTTCACAACACACTGCCACAGACTAGATGAATTAATGGACACATTTAAATATTTGAACCATCTCGGCATTCTCATTTGACAGATAATTTGGTTCTTTTGAGTGGAAAATTAGAGCAGCACATGGGACAGCACTTCTTTTTTTGGGGTGGAAGGGTATATAAATCAGAGACTGTTACTGCAATGAAAACTCCTTTCAATACCATGAAAAGCATATATTCAATTAACAGTAAAGAAATTCAACTAACAAAGAAATAATGGTCAACATTTAACAGCGCAAAATACGTCACCTTAGAGTTTCTTTGAGTGTTTATTTTGCAAGGCAACAAATATAATAGCTGCTCTACTGTATTTCCTCATTAACCACTTCATCAACCAACATCATCGGGAACAGCACCCACGTCAGGCGCTTTTGATCACAGTAGGCTATTAGCAGTTGAAAACCGTTAACGAAGAAGGTGATTTAACACACAACCATAGTATAGGGCAAAACGCAGACAGGAATTTTTGTGGAATTTTGTTAAAATTAAATTTGGAAATACATATAATCCCCCTAAGTAGGGTAATGTAAGAAAGGCTTAAAAATGTTGCTCATCTTCTAGACATTAATTCCAAACTATTTTATTTAACATTTGGTATATAATGTTAAACAGGTCATTGTATTCTGAACATACACCTTCCACCACATTTCATTAATAAGGGTACTTTATATTTTATCAAAACTGTGCTTGTTAATAGATTAGCTTTTGTCAAAAGACATGCAAGTATTTAGTATTTACATTAAAAGGAATGCCTTAAAAGAAACAAGAGTCCGGAATAAACCCCCTTAAAAAGTAAAAAATATTTATTTGTAAGGTAAACTCTAGTATGATATCTTCTGATATTTTAGATATATTTAATATTTGTGGACTTCTGCTGGATTCCACACTACCATGCAAATGTCTGGCTTGCTTTAACACAATTGTCCTATTTCTGTTAGCTATATTATAGGGTACACATATTTTAATTGCTCTTTTTGAACATATCACCAGGCAGTTCAGAGTACCTCATTTATTGATAATACCATGACAATCAAGGACTTTCATATCAGCTGATAACAAGAGGGAACAGAGCAGAATTTAATAATGGAATGTATGGGATTGTCATTTTTACTCATTTTGAACCATTTGAAAATGTTTTCTACTCAAGTTATATATTTTAGATAAGCACAGTTAGATATAGATATCACTACTTGGGGAAAAAAAACACAAGTCAGAATTCCTTAGGACTAAATGCTTATCAATACACATTTTATACATAATATGTACAGACTTTGTAACCAAGTGCCACACAACTAGGGCACACATATTAGTTACCTTGGTTTTCAAAGGTTATGTGTCAACTCTGCATATTATGTGCCAAGGAGATACTATCAACATTATTTTTTGCATAATGTGCAAGTATTATATAGCCACAGAGTGTAAAACAAATTAGTGGCAAAGTGCTGAGGGAAGGAATCCATGACAGATTCAGAAGCACAAGGTTGAATATTACCCGTAAACTACCTGACTCTGCTAAGGTCTTAACAGCACGAAGCGCTATGTCATGCCTAGCTTTTAAGTCTCTGCAATACGTGAACACAATGAAGCTTGTTCAAGGATCTTACCACAGCCCTGGCAACAAGAGGGCTGGTATTAGCAATAAACGGTATTGGGGAGCAACATGGAAGACCACCCAGATAAATCTTTTCTAAACATGCCATCTTCCTTGGAAGAGTTTTGCTCACTCTGTCATGACCATCATTGATTATGGACATGTGCCCCCCCTACACACTTTTTTTGGTTTAAAATATCATATTAGCAAGATTATGCTGCTTAAGTTGAGAATTTTATTAGTATTGTTATCTTGATTTCTTACATGCAATTATCAGTTCACTGAAAACATTATTTCAAAATAATTTAGGATGTTATTGGGAATGGGAAAATCATATTTGCAAGCCAATTTCTCTAAAAAATATGAAGTTTGACACTTTATATTAACTGTTAGACTGGTTAAAAAAATAGTATTTTGCTTTTTTGTAATCTCAGAAAAAAAGAAGAGGAAAGGGTTTAAACAAAAAACCTCATGGCAAACTAGTTTCTATTTTTTTAATACAATGAAATCTAGTTTCTATTTTGCTAATTCAGATTTCTTTTGCTTAAATGATTTTCTGAACTCAGTAAGCAAGAATGTTTTTTTCTCATCTAATAAAAAGACTGAAAACTTTTTCAATACAATTCTAAGTTTACAGCAAAGCAGCTGTCTTCATAGTAGCTCAGCTGTGCTTCAAAGTAAATAGTACTTTTAAAGCTGATTGGGAGTTTTCAGTGATCCCATTTAAATTTAAGTAAAAGTTCACCATTAAAGCAGCCCAGTTGCCTACCAATGAGCTCCTCAGGACCTTGGGAAATGTTAGAATGGGGGATTTGAATGGGGAATTTCAGAACCAAGTATCAAGGAACCCAGCTATCCCTATTAACATCTAGGAAGTGGATGCAATATAATAATAAATTTCAAGCTTTTCCATTACCATTATTAGCACACTTCATTTTATATGTTGGAATTTACTGAGTTTTATGTTGCAAGAATTTTGAAGATTGTGTTTAAATTCCATTGTTACTATTTTCCTCATGTAATTCTTATAGGTCTGACATACACAACCAAATGAGCTCAGACTTAGTAACTTAGATTTCATTTATAACAAAAAAAACACTGCTTACTATGGAGTTCTTATACTGAAGGTCCTTTCCCCCCCCCTATTTATGTTACTACTATTGACCTTTAAAAAAATTTATACATTAGCTTTAAAAAAGTGTTGCCACAATTGAAGTATTGTGAAATAAATGGAGATGAGTCCACTGTAAGCACATAACTGCTAGAGACTGATTTATGTTTTTGTTGGCAAGTCTTTTGACCATTCTGTTATCTCTGTTTATTAAGCAAAATGTTAACCAGGACAGGTTATCACCATCATTAAACAAAAAAAATGAGAATGTGTTCGTGATTTACAGTGTTTCACTGTTCTTTTTGAAATCAGTAAAATATCGTCAAGAAAGTATTAACATGCATCTAACTGAGAGGGCCGTCTTTGAGTCTTTAAAGTTACCTCACATAAGCAGACAAACCCTACCATGTCAGACCACACAAACATTTTTAATTGTGTAGTTACAGTCAATAACCACTCCTAATCAGAACATTTCTGCATAAAGAAAATTGTGGTACACTTATAAAAACAGCCAGCTGTAACAAAATAGCCAGTGTTTTCATAGCCTTAAACTCATAAAAAAGAAACACACCTTTATACAGAAATTTTATACAGATGTAGCTTTAAAATTGATTGTAAACCAAAGGAAGACACATTGCAAACATCAATTATTTTCACATTAATTGCATAATTTTCTAAGGTGATCTATTAGTTTTATTTACCTAAGCTTATTTGCATGATAGTAAAAATTGCATACAACAATAAGAGTGAAGCTTATAGTATGAATTGCTTGGATAACATAGAGCACTTTTTATAGGCAACTGTGTAAAGCACATTTTCTCTATTTAAAACTTTTAAGACACTTTGTTTTACTGCCCATCAAAATACATTTATAAATAGAAAAGAATCAGTATGGTAACAAGAGAAGCAATATTACATTTAACGGAAACTTCCAAAAAATTAATTACAACATGGTGCTGCAGGGTCTACAAATAAATAAAGAGGACTAAATTGTGTTTCACATTTTTTCTTTTTTTTAAAAAATCATGTAACAATGAAAATGAAAAAAATTACAGTGAACTTTTATTTCCAAAATAAAAACAGATTTGAATTACGGCAGTGCCATATTATACAAGGCATTTGTTGGCATATGTCATCTTTAAGCTGCGTCCCACAGTCTATAGTTCTTCTGTAACATACAACAGGGTAACACTCTTTCTCTTTTTTTAAAATAAGGGATGAGTTTCCAAAGATCAGTGTGGAGTGTTACAGAAATAATTAAGGAAAGAAATAATTATCACAGAAGTTATAATGCTTGTTTGAGGCTCCAGAATAGTAATAACTGAAAAAAAAATCACTGATATCATGCTTCCGGGGTACACACCTCAGTGCCTCCCGTGAACACAAATTTTAATTTTTAATACCAAACAATCCTCAATGCTTCACTTGGGGCTGCCAAGCAGTTTGTAAAACAGAGTAAAACATTTAGTGCAGTCTGTCTTGTCCTTTCTCAACTTTCCTATTTGTGCAAGTTTCTGAAGATTCATTGGCCAAACAATGAACAAAGGTTTTCGAGAGAATACAAGGTGGACTTCTCGTTTTGTTAGTAAATACCACTGGCACTGCTGAATCAAAATAATACTTTTATCTCAGTCTTTCAGGTCAGCGTTAATATCTGTGTTTCCTTCAACTGCGAGCTCTTCCTCCAGCTTCACCGAGAAGAGGGTGTTGGCATTTTTATCTTGGACACTGTCCTCCAAATCCTTGAGCAGCTCCTCCTCCTTGTACTCGGCCACGTCCACCTCCAGGCCGGAGTTGTCCTTCAGTTTGCCGTGGTGCTTGAGATAGTACCGCTGGTTCTGAAAGAACTTGATTATGGTGTACTTGGGGAGGTCCAGCTGGGCGGACAGAGTCTGGATGGCCTCCTCGTCCGGGTAGAGGCCCACGTCCTGGATGAAGCTCTGCAGGATGCCCAGGGCCTCCACGGAGATCTTGGTGCGCGGCCGGGCTTTCTGCCTCTCGTCGTCCGCCTCGGCCGGCGCGGCGGCTGGCGGCTGCCGCGGGGGGAGCCGGGGCCCAGCTGGGGGCTGAGCCGGAGCAGGTGGCGGCGGCGCGGGCTGCGGCTGCGGGGGCGGTGGCGGCTGCTGGAGAGAACGAGCACAGTCAGAGCCTGCCTTCCCGACACGGCCCCCGCCCGAGGACGCGTCCTCGCAGGTAGGAGCGCGCGGGGGGCTTGGCTGGGGAGAGAGGCGCAGCCCCGCCAGGGGGCTCGCAGCCCTGGGGGAGACATCAGCACGGTGAGAACGAGAACGGAGGGACTAGGGCTTCCGGGGTAGTGGGCTTCCTCATTACCGTCAGTGGGGCCTCCGCCCTGGGCTAGCAGCCTGGCTACCTGAAGGGAGAATGCAGTGCTCCAAAAATGTGAGCCATCAAAGGCGAGGCCAGCAGAGTGAATTTTGGAGTAAGTAATCAACAAAGATTTAAAATGAAGATCGAGAAGTAAGGATTTCAAAAGCATCTTAGAAAGACATGTGTTTTGCCCCATTTCACGGGATGGTTAAAACACAGATCAAGACTAGAAAGGCTGAGTTGAATTCCAAGTAAAATAGGTAAGTGCCTACTCTTCTTCACTCCCTCTTATGAATCCAAAGGATTTTTGAGATTCACACATTTCTGAATTTTCTACTAAATAGTTATGATTTGATACACGTACAATTTCTTACCAAACTGCACTAGGTTAACACTGCAAGTTTTTTGTTACCGCAAAGGTTCAAACCCAGTAACGGCTAGCAAACTGTTTTGTTTATAGCAAACTCAGATGTGATTAGGATTTAAAGTTCGTGTATAGAGATACTTTTTCATGATTAGTATCTGTATGTGCTGTAATTCCCATACACGATTATACACAACAAATGTGTGACACAGCATACTGTACACTCCATACATGTAATTCTTATCAGCAGAGCAAATCAACCTGAGTAAGCAGCAAAATGCTAGACCATGTATACTGTGCCTAAGTGTTTCCTTTTATCCTCTTAAGAAGCAATTTTATTAAGAACAATTTACATTTTCAAACAAGTACTATTTTTATTAACATATACCTTTCTCTTTTTGTTTTTGCTAAACAGTAAGTTTTTCAGGCTTTCACGATTATTTTAGTGCTTGATATCCTAAGGGATTCTCTTTTTCAATTTATCTTTAATACATACTCAAGGATTTTTTCCCTAGTGGATGGATAACCCTATTATTGTTTTTAGCTATATATATGTATCTTTTTCCCCCACACTAATACCAAGAAATAATGCAGGTGATTCAACAAAGATAGTAGAATTTTAAGACTCTGGAAGGCAACGGCATTTTCTCTTGGAGGGAAAAACTAAAAACATCCCCTTAGATTTAACAGAAATCAGTCATACAGCTCAAGTTCAATTTCAACACACTTCAGACACAACTGGGGCCATAAGAATGCCAAGAAACCACTGGATCCCACAGCTTCCCAACCTATGTTCACAGGGCAGCTCCCCCAGAGGATGAATGGAGACAGGTCCCGCAAGCGAGGCCCAAGGACACCCCTGCCGGCACAGTGGTCTCTGGCCACTGCCAGGGCTAGCACGCCTGAAAATGCTGACCAGAGGAGCAGGTCTCTACACCGCCCCCTCTTGGTCTCCCCCTCCTGCCGGCAGAGGCAGCCTGTGCCCGCTCACCTGAGGAGCAGCACTGCCCCATGGTGCCGGGGTCAGCAGGCCTGGCAAGGGAAGGCCTCTAGACTCTGCTTTCCCAAGGGTGGTGGGCAAGGGGCTCTGGGGGCAAACAGACATGCCTCCCCCCTAACCTGTGTTCTGTGAGGGTGTGGGGAAACAGCTATGAGGGGACGGAAGGGCCATGGAGTCAGAAGCAAGACTCCAGTTAGGTTTCCTGCCCCTCCTCTTTTTGCACAGAATCCAAGGTGCATAGCTGTGATTGTACAAATTTCCTCCATAGAAACAGCAGTCATTCCTTTCCTAGGGGACAGTATTGGTATTGATTTTAAAATAGGTGGTATTTTTAAAAGATAACAAAAAAAATTTAAGCTCTCCCACACAAGACAACCTATTCTAACAAAGACACACTTGCCAAACAGTAAGTATAAAAGGGGGTTCTTTATGCCACTTTATGGGGTGGGGAGATGAGGGGGGAAGAACACAATACAATGTTGGAAAAAGTGTGTTAATTCTTTTATCCCCCTGACCAGGATGGCAGTGTATTGTTATATCTTGCTAGAAAGCCTATGTTTAGACTGATGGGAAGAAGAGAAACGTTACTTTCCCTAAGTTCAAAGCTGTTGACTTCGTGCTGCACTGAACTGGCCGAGGTAAACGAACCTGAATCTGCTCTGCAGGAACGTGGATGATGTGGGGCGGCCTGTCGCCATGGTGATGCACTGCATTGCTCTCCTGCTCATAAATGGCATCCCGTTCTGGCTGAGGAAGACTGAGGAACCTCCGGATCATGGAGAGGTTCTCCCACAGCGTCCTGTTCTCTGGAGAAGGGTCTTCCTTCCAGCGTAACAGCTCACACAGCCACCCCTTAGAGACAAGAGCACAACAGATCAGTTTATGCCTGCGGGGTGCTGACATATTCCATTAGGAGCTGAAAGACAAGAAGACCCTGTAAAGTCAACTTTTTTTAAAAGCTCAAAACACTCCAATCTGCTTAAAAAAAAAAACTCTTTAAAACCTGTTAAGAGAAAATAGTAGTGGCTGTCCAGGAGGCAGGCTGTTTCTAATAAATGTTGAGATTTGCATCTTAAAGAAGGGTCATATTTTTTGGACTGCAAGGGCAAGACGCATCTACTGCGGACTCTGCAGCATGCATAACTGGAGGAAAGCTGAGCTGAGTGGGACATTTCTAATCTTGCCTGACTTTCTTGTCTCATGAGAGGCCATCTGTGGTCCTGAGGATTTTTAAGAGACAGGACAAATATTTAGAATAATTTTCTTCCTAAAAGGATTCCCTAAGTTTGTAATTTTTGTATTAGAAAGGAAACTATGTATGAGTATTTGTCTATGTACATTTGTGTGTGTGAAAGAAAGAACACTCAACTGTGTGAGCAGTGGGTCCAATGTAAAGCATGATGATTAGCATGGGCATTTGAGTAATTCTTCTAGAAAGAACTTTTCAAAGACACCTTGGAGTCCTGTTTTTCTGTCCACTGTGATCTGCATATGTGATTCGTCAGGCAAGAATTTTCATAGACTTCCTGGACTAAGAAAGAAATGTAGAATGAATGCCAAGACCTCAACCTCAGTTTCTGATCCTCAGATTATCTATGGAGAACTGAATGGCCCAAAACAGGGCACACTGTCTAACATTTTCTAATCATCATCTCCAACCTTCTTCACTGGGGCTGCCGTGATGGCCTGGGCAGTGGGGTGGAGGGAGAGGGTGTCCCCCTGACACCCCTCAGTTCACTCTCTAGGGATGGCCCACTCCACTGGTCTTGCTCCTTCCACCATCACTGCAGACTTCCCGAGACCATACTGTCACTGGTCTCCTACACCTCTTCCCTCCTCCCTCACTCCTTCCAGGTCCCTCACCAACCATGAACACCTGACTCCCTGTCTCAGTCTCTGCGTTAGGAACTGGATCTAAAACAAAAGGGTTACTTGGAAATTGCAAGTAAAGTAGCTGGATGGGAATGCAAACAGTACTATTTCTTCTTATTTTTTCTGTTAGCACTAATTACAGGGAATTTCTTTTTAATGTTACCTTTGGGGTGAGAACAGTGAATGGTCTGACTTCCCTCCTTCTCAAACTGAACCATTGGAAAGAATTCTCCTTCTAACTGCAATACACAGTGGGAAGAAGCAAGGCCCATTCTCCCCACAATAGCCTATTTGAGAGATTTTAAGAGAAAAGACAGAGGACTGATTAGCTTCCCAAAGTCCCCACACTAACTAAGCCAAGGTTGACTGCTTGAAACCTCCTGAGATCTACTAATTCCCTAAAAGGCCTTTGATTCTCTATTCAACAGGTCTTTTATTTAAACAAATGTGTACCTGGGGAAGGCCATGCAATCATGCACTCATTCAATGCCAGTGAATGCATAATCCAAGGCTAAGAGGGCAGGCAGTAAACAGAAGATTTGCCTGAAACACTATTATTAAATAAAATAATAAATAATAATTGTGATTTCAGTGTCTGCTTCTCTTGTAAGTATGGCAATTCTATGCTTATTTCCAGAATAGTATGATAGTATGACTATTTTAGCTCTCCCTATATAAGTACAATATTAACTATAAAATTCTAAGTATGAGACCCACTTGCCTATGGTGCCTTGGAGATGTTTCTTTAGTTCTTACTGGCAAATACTTGCTATCTGGATTAGGCATGAAGATATTTCATATTTTCCTGGATCTAAGGTTTTCTTATAGCTCACCTCTCAGTTCTGATGCTGTACCGGTTTTAGATGTACATCTTCCTGAAGGCTTGAGTATTCACTGTGGCTAAGATCACTTGCCTCCTCCCCCTTGTCTCCATTCCTCAGCTATGGCAACTGACAGGCCCCCATGCCTATTTATGGCAAATCACTGCAATAGTATTTACCTTTCAAGAGATGTTAGGAGGTTCATAAAGAACAGAACAAAAAAGCTTTTTTTCTTACTTAGCTAGTATTACATTATTGCAATAAGTGCTAAACACTGAACATCTAAAAATTTTTTAAGAAACAAATGCTTGTAGATTCTGTAGTAAGTTATATATGATGGCTGATTTTTTTCTGCTATTGTATTGTCATCAGTGAGAAGAGCCCTGAGTTGTCTTTCTCCCCACTCCCCATTAATATATCTCCTGAGAGAGAGAATTCTCATTATGCAGTAGTGGCTTTCCCCCCCCTCTCTTTTTGGGGGCTTTCTTTCTTTCCCGCACATGAACACACACACCGAATATATATCATGTGCATACTTTCCCCTAATCAGCCTAATATGCATAATCTATAAATCCATGCTCATGTTTTAAGTGTCCAATGAAGTTTGGAACACTGTTGTGAACCTGCTTTATTTTTCTCTGTGTTTCTTCAGGGATCTTTGTTTTAAAGCAATAAAATCATTACCTTTGCTTTAAAAAAAAGAAAAGAAAAAGAAACAAATGCTTGTAACTAAAAATTGCTAAAAGTTAAATTAAAAATAATTCACATAAGAAAGCTCCTTGGAGAGAGCTGAACAACTCCAGTAATTTTTCAAATCCTTCAGAAACTTTTTAAAGTAACAGAGATCAGTTAGCATTCGGATATATGTGAAAAAGCATGTGGGTCCCAGATGTTCTTTGGAAAAGAAAATCATTAGTTCCTTTAAAACGGCTAATAATGATAGCTAATTCTTAAACAATCCCACTCATGCTGGTTTAACAAATATTTCAGAAAAAGCACCCTGTCTCATTCAACAAATATTTTGCTCATATTGTCACTTCTGTGTCTCTATACTTATGAGATGGGTCCTTATTTTTATTAATTGCCCATGACTAACATAACATTTCCAGTAGTTTGCTATTAACCTCTGCCATTAAGTAATACTTCTAATTCCTTATCTGAAAATAATATGATGAATTATAAGTCTGAAGCATGTCTCTGCTAGCCTTTCAAGAGACTCGACGATTTTAAGAGACTGAAATCAAATGCTTCTTAGAAAAATATTTAACGGTGCAGCTGGGAACTGTTAGTTCTACAAGGGTATTCCAAAAAAATCAAAAGGGGCTGAGGGAGTACTTTGCTTGATATGTGTATCTCTTAAAAAATAATGGAAAACAGACATTTTGACATGCTAGCTAGCTCTTTGTCAGTAGAGATAAACTGGCTCATTCCCAATTTACACTGGCAAAAATAAGATTCGTTTATTTTAATACTATTTAAATACCTTGAAATATTCTAATATTCTAACTACCTAAAAATCCTACTGATTGAGACTATTAATGGTGATTGAGACTATTAATGGTGACAATAATCTGAGCTATGTTTTGCAGAAAGTGACTTAAAAAGCCAAATACTAATTCCTCAATGCCTTTTTTTCTAGGTCGCTTTTCCACAAATGGTATTTAGAGCAAATAAACTTGGGAGGACAATGAACATGTCAGAATATTGGTAATATTTGACAAGTAATCATGATTCTCCTAGGTACTGTATTGGTTTTTAAAGGATAAATGTATATAGATTTACTTGGCAGAGGAGAGTCACGAATGAAATGCAGCACTTTGTTGCAAAATGTGAACATAATTACATTTTTAAAGGAGATCTCCGGGACTTGAAATAAGGTAAGATCATAGATAGGAGTAGGCAACTGCTCTCAAAATTAAATAGATCACAACTGTTGTGAACAGTAGAAAAGACAGGAGACTAACAGCCTTAAAATAATGAGACTGATCCATTCTCAGAAAACTAAAATGGTACAAGGAACAACCTAAACTTTAAATGTAGTAAATTTGCCAAGCAACATTACACTGCATATAAAGAGGGCAAAATATAAACAGTAGCCACATGTAAATAAATTAGTAAAACTTTCAGGATGTTACTACTTTTCAAACTGACAAAGTTTAATTTGACACCTTCTGTTCTAAACCCTTTGTTTCTATTCAAAATCACGCCTTGAGCTGTTGCTATCAATCACAGCGCTCCCCCTATTACTTAAAAAAACTGGCATGAACCCTGAATAAGCTGAAAATGCCATGCAGATGAATTCTGAGATAATATGTTCAAACCTGTTATATACAACACAAATCCTGTAAAGTTATGTATTGTAAACCTACATTTATTGAGAACTAAAAGTCTTAAATCCATCTGCCACAAAGGAAATACTGTTATGTACTTTATAGTAACCAAGAGCCATCTGCAAATGTCTTGCTACCGTAAGCAAGAAAATGGTGCAGAAGATGCTAAACCCGAGACTGCATGAAATAAATAACATTCTTTTGACTGCTTTTAGTTAGGGATCTATTAAAGAAATGTAAGATCGGGGAAAAAAGGAAAAGAGAAAATGCAGAATGACTGCCAAAACAGGTCCTGAAAAAAAGCAAAACAAACTCAATGATAACACAATGGCAATTTATTATGGTCCATGAAACACATGACTGTATGCTCATTTTAAAGGAAAAATTAGCAGTTCTAAATTCAATATTCTAATGATGTGCTTTACTGACAGAATCTTGTTGTACCACATTTAAATAAAAATTCTGGCACCTTCATCCCTCAGCTGCTAATTTCCAACCAAACTCAATCTCTGATTTCCACTTCACTCTTTTCAGAACAGTTAATTCAAACCAATTCACTTCTAACATTTTAACGGGTAAGGGGTACACAATGATTTTAATTCAGTCAGGAAAATAACCTCCTTTCATGAATGAATTTCTTGTACCTATATAGCCTCACACATAAAAAGAGAACCCTTAGAGAGCCTGTTCTGTGACAAAGCTGGGATCATGTAACACAACTAATTTTCCAGGGAAAAGAGGCTTTAGTAGTCTCTCAGAAAAAAACTCATTTAATACAGCATATAGATATGTATATATTATTGTTATGTACATATACATTTTAAACCCA